TTAAACACTATAAGCAAATGTAGACCAATGTTTCTGACCTTTTGTAGAGAGCTAGATGGATTCGCTCATGTCAAGCAGTGGCATAAGCAGTCAAAGGCATTGCAGCTAAGACCAGAAATCACCAAAACTAGTGCAGTACTAAGGAGACAATCTGTAAGGTCATGCAAACCTGGAAGAACCAGGAACTAGTAGTCATTAGAACCAGAAGAGGCCTGCCAAGGACCAAGACTAATTAAACTTTAAAAAGGTTAGGCCTCTGTAGCAAACAGACTCTCCAGATGCTGACCCTTCCACATCTGGCTGCATTAAAAAGGCAACTGCCACCAGTTTCACCCGACTGATTTCTGAACATAAGAGATCCTCCACTGCCCAAACATCGTAAGCAGCATGTGCCAAGCGCTGACCCAGACCAGATGGAGTCCTCACCTCAACCGTGCACTCAGGGACTGACTTGGTGTTTGGTGTGTTAACTTCTTACCCCTTACTGTATCTTGTTTGTTGTGTGACTTTATATTTATAATTTGTTTTGTGTGACATGTATGAAGCCAAGTTAAATGTGTAGTAAAATGTCATTGAGTTTTGGAATCCTGAACTTGCTTTACAATTATGTTAACCTTGCTTTGTGACTGAAGAAAGCTGACACCATGGAAAGACACAACTCATGTACATGCCTTTATAGCATATTCGAGACAACTTGGCCATCACTAAACTAGTAACAGTTAAAATAATCATCATACAAAAGTTCTCTTAGTTTTTTTTCCTCACCGTTGTTTAAGTACAAAACACTGAAATTAATTTTACTGAGTAAATTACTGTGAGTTTCTCAGCCCAAGTTAAGTGTCAAATATATGTTTTATTGTTTCTTTTGTTTTGTTTTTCTTTTTAAAGATTTTATTTACTTGAGAGAGAAAGAGCATGAGCATGAACAGGGGGAGGGGCAAAAGGAGAGGGAGAAGCAGACTCCCCACTGGGCAGGGAGCCCAACAGGGACTTGATCCCAGGACCCGGGGATCATGACCTGAGCCAAAGGCAGATGCTTAATCGACTGAGCCACGCAGGCACCCCTTATTGTTTCTACATAATAATAAATGACATAATTCCACTTTCCACTAGATACTCATTGTGAGATTGTGATTTATAATAAGTATACTTTTGGTCTTCCTCCCCATTTCTGGCACAGAGCTCCTAAAACCCCTGAAAGGACCTGGGAAAAGAGGTCTCTTTTGTTATGTTAATGAACTTTTGAAAAGCCCTTAGGGAACTAAAAATGGAGGCTCCTTGCCAGGGGAACCAATCTTGTGATAAGAGGTTTGAAACTTTCAGTACCCCTACTCCAAATCTGGGGAGGGGTAGGAGGTTGAATCAGTTGTCAATGGACAATGATTTAATCAGTCATGACTATGTAAGGAAGCCTTCAAAGAAAACCCAAAAGAGCTGGGTTTAGAGAGCCTCTAGGTTGTGCGCACATGGGAGATTTGGGGAGAGTGGCACACCCAGAGAGGGCATGGAACCTCTATGCCTCTTTCCACATACCTTGCTCTCTGTCCCTCCACCTGGCTGTTCTAGAATTGTATTCTTTTATAATAAATCGGTAATCTATTCGGCTCAGGTCATGATCC